TGGCCAAGATAATGGAAACCCCACCGAGAGCAGCCTGTCAGAGTCAGGCATGTTAAATGCCAGAGCTCGTTCTTGAGAACATCCTGCCAAACAAGCAACAGGGCTTTACTCAGTGCCGAAAGGACGTGTTCAGATGAGGGCATACAAGGTGCGAGCTGACAAACGCTATCAGCCAGGCAGAGGTAAGGCAGGCTGCCTTGTCAGCCACAGCCTTGTAAAGCTCAGTCCAGAGCCAGCCGCAGATTCACGCCAGCAATATCACAGCTACATCATCTCCACAGGGGAAGGCAGCTGCCCTGCACGTTGCAGAGGTTTCGGATGACAAACAGCAGAAATCCCAACACTGGCAGGGGAAAAAGAGTTAAATGGAGGGGCAAGAGGGACAAGCTCCCAGCTTCAGAGATGAATTACAGCCCGCAGTGCCCATTGAAAGCCATCCAGAGGACAGGCAGCCTAACAGAGAAGAGCAACAAGGAAAGAAAGCACCAGAAAATAAAACCATAAATTAATATTGTCCAACCCGTAGAACGGCAGCCAGCCAAAAATCAGAGCACAGGGAGAAAGGCAGCTCACCACCCACATCAAAGCTTACCAAAGGCCACTTTGCTGTCCTCCACCTGCTCCTTTGCTGCTCCTGCCAGTATTTAGGGGGAGGCCTTCCCCCAAAACAAAACTCAACTAAAAAACTGAACTAAAAAGCAGGCCAGGCCTGGGCTCAACATCTTTGACTCATAATGTTTTGCTGTATCATGTGAACAGAAAAATACCTCATCGATCAGTTCATTTGCTAAGACAACTCCTTCCAAGTGTCTCCTGGAGGGAAGCACAACCATCTATCGTTGATCTAATTTGTCTTTAATTACAAAAGTTACAGTAGGGCTGGGAGTGCTTTCCTAGCTGGGGCCTGAGGAGAAGGTTTGTAAACCCAACTCTCCTGAGTCCTCTTTATTGAAAGGTTATTTCCCCCTGCACCACTGATAAAATTTATCTTGATGTGGAAGAGTGTATGCTGCTGGTACGCTGAAGAGGTCTTCTCCAATTGAGGGGATCTAACAGCAAAAGACAGAAGGGGAGAGAGGCCAGACAGTTCTGCTAATCCACACCAGAAAGAAATGAAGAGAAATCAAAGCAGACTGGCAGCAGCTTTAATTCTGCAGCATCCCTCCCTCCGCTGCTGTGTTATTGACCCTGAGTGCTCAGCTCCTCAAGGCTGAGCTGCTGTTTCCCCCCAGCTGGCTCTAGGCACAGCACTGCAGTGGGCATACGAGCAACGACAGGGTGGGCAGATGGAAGGGGGGGGTGGGGGCGGGGAGAGCCCTACAAGGCAGCGCTGTGAATGGGATCTGACACGGCAGCGATCCAAGATGCCACATGTGATGCAACGGTCTACTTCAATCAAGGTCTACCTCAAAGAACAGAGATGCGAGTGCTGAAGCTAATAAATCTTCAGGCTTGTAAGTGCTCTGGCCCCAGCCCTGCACAGGGCTAAGTTAATCAACAGCTTCTCCGAGACACATTTAAAGAACAACTCAGCCCTGAGCTCTCCATGCTGCAAACCTCAGCCTCCTTCCCAAGGCCTGGGGAAGAAACTTCACTGTTTACCAGTCTCACCTGCTCAGGGGTTCAGGCACAAAAGGACACAGACAGCATCAGCTCGCTCCAGCCCACTGACTGTAGAAGACCATGTCTGCCCACTTGCTCCAGGCTTCAGGAAGACCCCAGGGAGATGCTGGGGGTGTAATTTCTAACCCAGCTCAAAGCAACTTGAGGTATCTGCCCAGTGGTGCTCTGTGGAGTAGCAGAAGCAAGAAGCAAGCAGCCCCAAGGAGGGAGGAACGAGACCAGCCTTTTGTCAGCCCTGGCTGCACAACTATGTCCATCACTGGCAC